AGACAAGCATATGCAAGTTTTTTTACTCTAAGATCCACTAGTGAACGCTTTAGAGGATAGTCCAAACCAGCAAAAAGGGTTACAATGTTGCCTGCAATCAAATAAAGAAGTGACCAACAGTTAGGATTTTGAAGTAAGTACAGAGATCACAATTGGTAAAATACTCAAGATATAATAAAATGCAACGGTTGGCAACAGGACCACATGATGAGATGTCCTGATAGAGAAGGCATCAAGTCATTTACCATAGCAAACTTAAATATGCAATTCAGCAAACACCCACATACCTTCTCTTTTCCAAAATAGCAATCAGTGAACTAAAAAAGTAAAGTGGAAAAGAAAATTGTGATACCTAAAAAAAGAGCACCGTCCTACAACCATAATCGGTGTCCATACAACCAAGTAAGCATAAAAGTACCCTACTCAAAATATTAAAGAAAATGGTTAAGAAAAATGTGCCAAGAAGAAAAAAATATTCCAATAACCATAGATCATCGTCCACAAGACAAAGTAAACAAACTTGTTCATCTTCTCAAAATTTTACAGATCTTCCTCAGTGAGAAGGATATTATCCAGAAAATTGACAATCTCAATATACCACTACATTAAGCAAAAAATCCAGGATTCTTTTATTTGAAATATTAAGCAGTTAACAGCACTAAGGAATAGAAAATAATATATTTCTTGACCTAAAACAAAAACCTAAAGACCTCCACAACATGGTTTCTCAAAAATCTTTAGCTTCAACAAATAGGCTGCAGTAACACATGAAGGATACATCCAAGTATCAAATCGTGCACACTTTAGGACAATCTAGTTGACTAACAATGGATTATGACACATGTTCAAGTTGCAGGCTTATCTAGAAGATGCAATTGCTAACTGATGTTTGTTTCTCATTCAGCGACAGTATTAAGCGAGAATAAACCTGTGAAAGACATAAATAGAAAATGTAAAAATGGCGTCAATCTAGTTTAAATTACTTTTCAACGGTGAGTTTTCTTTTCCTGGTAAACTAGATATATCCATTTCCCTCAACTTGTTATGTTGACCCTCCACTGGTTCCTTTCCTCTGCTACAACAGCTCGTAGCAGTTATAAGTCTGCCAAGTTCTTAATCTAAACATTTCCCTTAAATGTTTAGATTCAAAATTACCTACTTACCTAGCCACCTACTCACCACATAACACTGATCTATCGTACGGTTTTAGAGGCTCCAGTTACCCACGGTATTCCATCTAGATGCCCGATGCAATGTGTTACCTGCATGTTCAGCCTTTGCCTAATCATAAAGGTCAACATACGGTTCTTATTACTTTCCTTCTTACATTTCCATAAACATGAAACAAAGAAGACCGCTCTCCAATACCTGAGATGTTACTGAAGATGAAAGACAAGATTAGTGAAATGAAAAATCAACCTTGATTAGAAAAACCTCTTTTTGAAAGAATTTTGACAACCAAGCTCCAAATCAGGGACACAAACACCAAATAATTTACAAAGAGATGTAAATCCAAAACCAAAAGAATCACCCTAGCATTTTTTATCACCAGAAGGCTAACAATTTCAACATGCACTGCCTCCGAAATAGAGTCGCTTGCATTTATAAGGGTTGGAATGCCTTTGCATGTCTCAACAGCAACATTTACAATTGCAAATAGAGGCCAACTTAATTAGAAGAATATGAATATATTAGCTGCAGCATTTGCAACTGCAAATAAAGGTCAATAGCAAACAGAATCACATGTGATTAAACAAGCAATGGAGAAACTCCCCACCTCAAGTATCCCCCAGCTTCACTCGTCTATCTCTTGCAAGCTTCAATTATAGAAAATAAAAAAAACAAGTGTTTTGCTGTTTATGCATAATTTAATAATTCAAGTACATAACGACACAACCATGTAGTAATCATTTAAAATTTACAAATAAATTAAACAAAACAGATGGCGGCTTCATAGTTTATTCAAAGACATGTAAGACCACGAGAAGAGGATCTCCTACCTATCTTACAAGAAGAGAAGAGCCATGAATCAAGTT